CTATATTTGGGCAAAAATGGCCGCTCCCAGACTCATTATTTTTATTTTCTTATTGATTAACGCTAAATTCATTAAATCACAGCGAACGTATTAGTTTCAGGTATAAATAATGATCCATTGATCATTCTTTGCTGACCGGACTTTCCTTTAAAACATCTTCAGAAAGGTTAAAAGTTGAGTCGCTCTGACCGCTGGAGGATGAAAACCAAACATCTTCTCAGGTCTAGTGTGAATAATCTTATGGAAGCATTTTTGTGAGATAAAATATTATGAGTTATATTATGAGTGTGCCTTTCCTCTGCCTAAATAGGGGTGATTGTTTAGAATTATTGTACCAGTCTGGAGTTAAAATTGGTGATGACAAATTAAAAAAAAGAAATTGGGGATGACATAAGCAGTTGCCTCCCTACTCTAGACAAAGGTGAAGGGAGGGTCATGAGATAAGAGCGAGTTCGGACAGCCTCCTTCATGGGTCGACCTGTTCTGAGTGTCTATCTGGCTAAAACTCCATCTTAAATAAATTTGAACCTCATTTCTTCCCAGAAATGCCTCCGCCTCAGCTTCCTAACTTCACCATCTGCTGAAGATCATTTTGTTCCTGCTGTGCCGCAATGTTCCAGTCAAAGACATTCATGGTGTTCCCTCTCATTTATTGCAAAGGGAAGGATCTACGTTTGTGGTTTTCTACGGATTGATTTGTATGTTTTCGGTTCTGGTCGGATATTCTGTGCTACCTGGACCTGGTAGGACATCCTCTGGTGGAATCCACGCTGGCTCCGATGATGCTCTCCGCTCCGCAGCTGCTGGTGGCCTCCCAGACCAGAGACAGACTGGAGGAGGGATCCCAGTCTTCCCGCTCGGAGCCGCTGAGCCGAACGGCCGGCGGCGCCGATGGAGCCGCAGGCTGGATCGGAGCCCTGCGTTGGAGCGAGTCAAAGTGTGCAGTCCAGCGCTCGTGGTCCTCTGTCTGCAGAAAAAAAAGACACGTCACCCTGAGCGGTCAGAACCGGATCAGAACCGGGTCCGTCTGTGTCTCCAGAACCTGTCTCCTCAGCAGCTTCTCTCGTTTCCGGCGTTCAGCCTCCTCTTCCCTCTGGCGGTCCAGCTCCTCCAGCCACCGTCTCCTCTGCTCCTCTTTCCGTGCGGCGCTCAGCTCCTCCTCCATGGGAGTGACCTCCTATGGACCAAGCAGGGAAACGGGTCAAACCTTGGCTGTTTGATGGTCCTGCAGAGACAGTCCGGGTTCTGGTTTACCCCGAGCCGTAGGCTGGACCTGATGGCTGCAGGCTGCTCTCTGCGGCTGATGGACGACGCCGTCTCTGCACGCTCGTCGCCCTGAAACACATGGAAGCATCGGATCATCTGCCGGCTGGAGGGTGGGAAGAACTTCAGCGGTTCTTTGGGTTTCTGGATCAGACTCCTCTGGTCTACATGTATATAACTGAACCACGGCTGAAGAAAGATCCGATACCTTTTTCTGAGTCGCAGCTTTTTTAGCAAATTTAAAGGAAATCAGTAAAACTGACCAGTTTGTTTTCAGCTAAGGTCAAAACTATTCATACCTCTAAAATAGTCGCGTCCAAAGTCATCTAACACGGTACTTTTAACCCAAAGTAACCTGAAGGTTTAAGAGGCTCGGCCAAAGCCCAACTTTAACCTAATGGAGGATCTGTGGATTAGGGTGATGGCACAGAGGCCATCCAACCACCAAGGAGGAATCAATAAAACAGCAGAAGAAGAAGAACGCAACAAGCCACAGAAAAGCTCTTACTGCCAGTTTTCATTACTGAGGAGAGAAGAAGCCATTTTTAAATCAAATGACAGTAAAAAAGATGTTTTCTCTTGATGGAACTTTTCTGTCTCTTATTATCTAATTAAAATGAAAATCTGGATATTTTGAAGCTTAAGGGGGAATCTCTGCATGACTGATAAAAGGACTCCTCTGAACCAAAGCTTTGCCCCAAATTTATTAAACAACTGGAGACAATTATAATGAGATGCAGACCATCTTGATAAAACTATTTACTTTCCTTCTATACGTGTACTGGAAATTGGGCTGTTAGATGTTGGAGCTTGGCCTGTTTTCAAGTGTAGTCCTGTTTCTCTGACTGTGACTAACTGGATGTGCTCTCTTCATCCTCTGACATGGGAGCTGGCTCGGAGCTCGTCTGCCTGGCTGTGTGTTTCCTGGACGGGGCCGCCTGTGGAGCTGGTTGACAGTTGCCTTTTGTATCTATGCTTCTTTTTCTATGTCTGCTTCTGTCTCCTTGAACCCCAGTGGGCCTCAGCAGATGGCCGCTCACACTGAGCCTGGTTCTACTGGAGGTTTCTTCCTGTTCAAAGGGAGTTTTTCCTCTCCACTGTCGCTACAAGCATGCTTAGTGTGAGGGATTGCTGAAGAGTCAATGAGTCGATGCAATCAGCTGGTTTTCCTTAGATAGAAAACTTTGAATCAATCTGACTGGATGATCTGGTGAACTGGAAAGTGACCTGAGATGACATGATGTGAATTGGAGCTATAGAAATAAATTAAATAGAATTAAATATCTCAGAAATTTTAAACCTTGACATATTGCCCAGCCTGACTGCTGCCTAACTTCCTGCTGGATCCCACTTGTACCCAACGAGCAGCGAGTGTTCAGGAGGAAGCAGCGATGGTGTTGAGATGAGAGTGAAATACCTGCAGTCTGCTGAGGGCTGAACGCTGCTGCTGCTGCTTCAGGGAAACCTGCTCATCTGAAACAAACACAACATTTCAATTCAGACGTATTCAGCACCATGCTGTCCCCAACCAGCCATCATCACTGCTTAACATCCATCCATCCATCCTTCATCCATCCTACCAGTTTCTGGTTTCCATGGAGCTTTCTTCTTTGCGTTAACGGTGGTTCTGTTGTCTGAGTGAAGCCTTTCAAACTCAGGTGACCTAAAAACAAAGAGCCATCAGAAAATTCAGCACCAAGAGTCCAGATCTGTGAGCATGTTGGAGTTCATGGTCTACATGTTGATGGTCCACGTCTGAGGGGAGAGCTTCCCTGAGGAGCTGAAGACACATCAAGATGTTCAGGATTCATCTGATCTCTTGATTTTCTCCTCTAATACGTTTTAAATGTATGCAGCCTTTCCTGTCTAGTCTGCAGTTTTTCATCTTTTCATTGCTGAGACCACATCTGTCTAATAGTTTATTTGATTAATATTATCAACAGAATCTTTCTTATTTTTTCAACATGTCATTTATTTTACAGGCCATCCGGGAGATTTTCCTGTTGAACATAGGATACGATGATACGGTGACCAGATATCGCAGATCTCTGGGGCCAGTCCCCGTTTTGGACCCACTGTCCCCGTCTAAAGCGGTCCCCGGAAATGTCCCTGATTTTACCATTTAATGAACGAGGAGGAAAATGTTGTGTGTAGACTGTTATTACTGTAGAAAGATCGCGTCAGCATGTTTAGCGCAGATATAGCTGATGCTGTAGCTGGGTGCGCTGCTGTTAGCGTAAAGATGAGGAACAGAGGGCAGGTCTTCGGCTCTCCACAACCACTATTAAAGCATTTTTCCTTTGGATAAACTTTACATGCAGAAAACTACAGGTGCTTGGTTCCAGGGACTCAAATTCACTTCCACACAGAAAGCCCATATTCTGATCTTCAGGTAACACAGAGTACATGTCAGATTAAATAATACTACTTATACTTCAGCGATGGTATCAAGGTGTTACTTTATTGTATATCTTATAATATATCCGTTGGTTGTTCTGTTGTTTTTCCATCTCTTTGCAGGTGATGAAGCAGCCTGAAGATGTTTTATCATTGTCTCCCTTTTATCTCCTCTTTCTTTTATCATTTTTCCCTTTTTTCTGTTTTTCCTTTCCTGTTCTACTTACATTGCAGTGTCCATATAATCTGTAATAATCCCTGCATAATTAGAACAAAGCTATTTCTATGCATAAATCAAGCGGAACACTATGGCGATAGCCGTACTGCTCCACTTGTGAAAGTAAAATCTGTTGGGCTCTTTTTGGCATCAAGACAATGATTCTTATTGTCAAATTGGCAGACAGGAGACTGTAAATTTTTTTATAAATAATAAAAAAAAAATTGACATGGCTGAGCAAACCCACTCCTACTACGGTCTGTCAATTTTACAGAAAGAACTCCATTTCCCTCATTGCACCCCCGCCATGCTGCTGGGTTTTCATCTGAGTGGCATAAAAAGAATCCTTGTTGCTTAGTCCAAGTCTTAAAGCAGGGTTTATACAGGAATGATTAACTTTAATTTAATGCTCTTTGAAATAATTTTAACACCATCAACAAATACCCATGACTCTCATATATACGGCAAATTCCTTCATCTTTTCCGTCGGCAGGCTGCAGTTCCTCTATTTCCAGCCACTTTTGTTGAAATTAGCATTTCCCCCATTCTCTATCCTTGTCTCCGCAGCGAGCTTCTTTTCCGAACATACGGCTTTATGATCAACCGGAAGCAGTTCCGCGCAAATATATTGCGATGTATTTGCAAATATATATATTGTTTAATAAATTGTTTTTATAAAAATAAAGCATTTTAAATGCCAAAACCATCGCATTGAATGAATTTTAATGCCAAATCAGGCCTTAATTAAAAAAATAATTATTTAATGATTTTAATGCTTAATATTTAGTGATTTTTAATGACCCGCGGAAACCCTGTAAAGCACAGAAGTGATCAAATGTAAACATTGTTAGAGAAAAAAAACATGGTGCAAAGAAAGAACATGGTGCACGCCAGCGGCGGCTGGTGGCGTTTTCTCAACTGGGGGCTGTAAATTCAACTAGATCTATACCTAACACCAATTAAACATATACGAATTTATCACGCCAGTATTTATATAACTGCCAACCAAACATCATTCCACGTACAGGTTTACTTTTTGTCCATAAATCTTGCCCTTCTGAGGCTTTCTGAAGGTAAATCTGTGTTTTGGTCCAATATTGAGTCAAAAACCTAAAAAAATTATCTACCAGTTTAATAATGGAGAAGCTATTAATCTGCTTTATATTTTTTTAATATATAAAAACTATTCATTTTCTGAAATGTGTTTATTTAAGAGCAACAATGCAAATGAACAAACATCTAGAAAAAGTTCACTATATTCTATTATTTTCCATGTGAATCCCAGATTTTTCTTTTTTCTTTGCCTTTTCTATAAAGTGCTTTAAATCAGTCCTAGCTGCCTTTATCCACGCTGGCTCAGATCCTGATGATTGAAAGGGAAGGATTTAGCTTTTCCTCGGTTCGCTGCATGTCGGGTCCGAGCTCCTTTACGTGGATTTTTACCACCATCGTCCTTCTCGCTAAAGGCTAACTCAGTAATAATAATCTCCACCTCACTGCCTGACTGACTACTGGCTCCATCACCTATATCACTGTAGAAGGGGCCTTAATGCCAGGAGCTCCAAGCCATTCATTTAGAAGATGCTGATGGGCCAAATATTTATTAATTTTCCACAGCAACATTAAGTAATTGGTTATTTCACTTCAGGGGCGCTTTGAATGAGTGCCTAAGAAATGTTCTGTTGAATGAGAGTCAGTTGGTATAAATGTTGTTTTAATAATTCATATTACATGTAGCCACATAATATTAAGTAAAACTGACATTGATAATACTTTTAAACTCTATTTATTATGACTTTTCCCCTCCACATCTAGGGAGGGCAGCGCCTGAGCGCCCCCTATGGGCCACCCGCCACTGGTGCACACCATCAGTGAGTGTTGGAGTTGCATCAAGCAGCCAGAGTGACGTTTACCTGCCACATCTGTCCTCCTCTTTCTTCACATCTTCCTCTTTCTCCTTCAGTTCTCCTTCCATCGCAGCAGACGAGCAGTTTGTGTCCGTTTCACGGTTTGTAACATGTTGAGGTTTGCATTGAGCGGACTTCAGGTTACTGTGGCTAACAGCACCTGGTGCCTCCTGCTCCTCTGGACCCCCCCGGGCGTAGCTGGATCTCTGGATGGCGCAGAGGATCTGCTGCAGCTGTTCGTCGGTTAGACGCCCCGGGCCGTCGCTCAGGCCTGAATCCATGGCGGTCAGAAGGCGCTCCAATCCTGCTCCTCTGTCCTCAGTGCTGGGAGGAGGTCCTGTTCTGCTGGAGGAACCCAGGGGTCCCACCGCCTTGCTGAGTTTGTGTTTGTTTGACTTCACCTTGAGAAGAAAACAAATGCAGGGTTATACAGCAAACTCTGACAGCTGGGTTTGAATGTTTAGGCTCCAGTGGCGCTCTGATTCATAGATTCATCTCCATTTTTACATTATTTTCTAGCCAATCGCTCAAACCCGTGGCCTACACACATTAATATACATATTCATATTAACACACATGCATGCTTAGTGTCTGTTCCCTTACCTTGGCCTTATTGCAGCGCTCCTTGTCATTCCCCAAAGCCTTGGATGAGGGCAGGATGCCGTTCCTCCCATCAGTGGAGCTGCTGGATGGAGCTGCTGTTCCTGCTTTTAACCTGGCCTCCCGGTGGCTCCGTGGCGCTTGCTGCTGCTGCAGCGGCGCCTCCTCCATGCAGGACAGCTGCCTGGCGCCGAGGACAGTAGCTGTTCGCCGCTTACTGGGCAGCTGGTTGGAAATGCATCACAAACCATTCAGTTAAACAAAAAGCTTCAGTAAGAACACCAGATTTGTCCCTCTAATCTTAAATGAACATAAAATCCAGCATGTAAATGCTCAATTACTTTCGTTCTTCATCTCTAACAGAATTGTTCTTTTATTGTTGAATTGTTTTTTAGGTAACCGGATTTTTGCTGAGCTCAGAAGTAAGGCTGCCTTCCAGTTTAAGCCTGTTTAGTGGTTGCAGGGCTGCAATTTGGAAATGTGGGGCCCTAGGTAAAGACAGGCAGGGGCCCCTCTGAATGGAGAAGACATAGAACAGACTCATTCTACAGATAGAGAAATGTTAATAGAATAGACATCCATTATCTGTTCTAGGTTGTGTCCCTCTCTTCTTGTCCCTTTTCTTCTTGTTTTCCTCTCTATGTTTTGTACTCAGCTGACTTTTCATGCTGTCTCTAAAGGAATGAAAGATTTTTTCCAAGCACTAAGCTCACTTAGCTGATTGCTCCTTCCTGTGTTTCCAAAAAGGCCAAAGTAAATAACCCAGTCCTTCTTTTCACTGTAGACAAGCCATGATCTGCTTCTCTGTTCTCCATTTTTCATTTGGATGAAATAATAGCTGCATGAATCATGACAGCAGACAAGATAGAGGAGAGCAGGAGGCGGGGTTACCAATCTACTCGCTCTGGAGAGCAGAGTTCGCTGCTTTTAGATGTTGTCTCCAAAGTCTCCAGTAGCAGAAAAAAGTCTCTAGATTTGGCGCTAGGAGCTTTTTAGAAATCAAAGTGCTAGAGGGGTCTGAAAAGTGGCTAAATATAGCGACTAAAGCGCTAAGTTAGCAACACTGCTCTTTGCATGGTATGTTTTCAAATGGTTTGCTGCTGTCTGTTTGGACCTTTCTGAACATGTGCAGCAAATGGACTGATCCAATATGGTGGACACTGAAGGGGGGGGGGCTGAGACACAGAGCTTCTCTGTCACTCAGAATCCTTGCTTTTGCAAGAAGATTCTGTAGGAACAGAGCAAAGAATGACACCAGGCTATTTAGCTTCTATGTGGTCATCTGGGGTCACAGGACTGATAGCTCATCACTCAGGCAAAACGTTTGGCTAAGCTCCCTGATGCCGTCACAGTGGCATTTACTAAAATTGTTCATGGAAAACATTTGAAGCTTTTTTCTGGGCACTTTGCAAAAAAAAATGTTCAGTATAGATTAAATAGATCGGCACAAGGATATGATGGCAAAGGCAGCAGGTTTGAAGGGATTCCTACCTTAACTGGATTCATCCTAGCGCCTGCAGGGAAAGGAAGGCCAAGCAGTGAGTAGAAATACACAAAACACCAAAACTTTTAGATCTACCGTTAATTTAGGTTAAAACTGTCATCCCTGTTTATTATCTGAACATTTATTTTTATTTAAATATTAAAAAAACAACTTGTTACACTAAACTACAAAAGCAGAAACATTCAAAATGCCTAATTAAATATTTCTGCTACAAAGTTTAATGAGCAAAACAAAGGGAAACAAAGAAGCAGACGATTTATTGTAGAATGAAGGCAGAAAGGCCTCACCATGAGACAGCAAGATCAGCCTGGGTTTCCCATTTTCCAGCTCAAACAGCAGCCCGTCTCTGTCCAGGAAAGAGAAGAATCATCAGAGCGCCAAACACAGAAACATCAGAACACTTTGGTCCTTGGAAGGTTAATAACTTTCCAAAAAAGTTAAAATCAATCCACTGGACTTTGTTTCCAAGTTTGAAGACATTTCTCTTCCATCCAGGAAGCTTTTTGAATTCAAAATGTCAGAAATAGCGTTGAGTTCCAGGTTTTATCCAGCAGCCTGACAAAGCCTGGTTTTAGTTTAGAAAACATGCAAATAGAAACGGATGAACGGGTCCCCCCCTTTGGAATGGGGGTCGTCTGGCTTCTTTGGTAGCCTGTAATGCCCCATACCTGTCTATGTCTCTGAAAGGGGGGGCGTTAAAGGGAATTGTTGGCCTGGCTGAACAGGTGAGGTCTTCTGTTCTCCAACAACCTACAATGCAGCAACAGAGTTGATTCCTTCCTGCTATCATCTCAACACCTTTACAGGAGAACAGAGGAAAGAACAGGTGGTTCTGTTGACCTGTTCTCCCATAAAGTCCAATAAAAAAAAAAAATCACCAAAGGATCACTGAAGCCCAGACTGGACCAGTCTTTGATTCTCACTACTTTAATAACTTAAAAATGTGCAAAACTTTTCCAGAGGGAATTACTGAGGACCTGGGAACCATCAGCAGAGGGATTTTTGCAGCATTAGCTGCTCCCAGATCTCTAAAACACGACCCACTGATTGTATGTTTCTGGATTCTTAACTAATTTAAACAATATCAGGAAAATGTGTGTTTTTGTTTATCCCTTTGCTGAAAACATCTGGTTTAATTATTATCGCTATAAAAAGGAGGATTAGAAGACAGTAGACTAGTAAAAACAATCCGCAGCAGCCCCCCTCGGGTCATAATATATGGTGCAACACCTGCTACACCGATACGATTAACCCTTTTTGTTTTATTTCAAATAAAACCAATGTTTTCATCGAGAAGAAAAGAGTGTGCTTACACTGATTAATATAAATAAACATTGACAAAGTGTAATTCCCAGCCACAGTCCGGGTTTAAGCTTAGCTAGCGGCTGAACAGCATACTTACCCGAGGTTCATGTCGAGGCCTACGAACCGGTAAAGCAGTGGAGTTACGGACAAGTTTAGAAAAATAGAAGATAATCAACCAGTGGATGAGATTTCATTGCTAAATCCACGCTAAATGGTCGCTTTCAGGTAACAAACCACTGTAGAAAGCTGTTGTCAACGTTCGTTGCTACGCACGGTAACAAACGTGTTACTGATTGGCTAATCCCCGCTGAGTTTAAAATGACTGACCAATCACATGTCTGTATTTTGGGACGTTTAAATTCGATGACGGTGCGTTTGGGACCACTCGGATTTTATGATATAGTAAAGCTAACGGGGTTGTAAAATTATAGAATCTACCGGTTTATTTCATATATGCTGTATCTTTTTCTCTACATAGTGCTTAAAATTCAAACGAAATACAGAATAATACGCATGAAAGAATAAAGCATATCAGATTGAGTCATGGTCATAAAATCTGAAATCATCCTTTTTAAATTTAAGGTCGCGTTTATGGTTTTAAAAGCCCCCTGTAACAAATATGGCGTTTGGGTAATTTTGATTTGTATTTGTTTTGAGTCAAAAACAATGATCTCCTCGTTTTTAGGACATAGGTTTTTAATGCCCTAAAGATGCGTTTTCTTTACTGCGTTGTGTTTTGAGCACAGACATTATTTACGTAGACGCGTCATTAGATGCTGGTCGACGTGCCTAGGGGGCAGCCATCTTGGATCGGACCACAGTTCAGACATCTGCTGTCAGAATGAATGAGGCGCCTTAGATCTCAGGAAAGAGGAGTCAGAGACAATATTACAATAATTTATTACATGTTACAACCACTTAAAAGACCACAACAAATTCTAGAAATGCTATATAGTATATAAGTATATATTAACTGATTATTATATTAATTATATTAAAGGACAAATGTTCACATATGCATAATTATTGATAAAAAACATAATTTGAAAAAGAGTTTTAGAAACAGTTTAGACAACTGGGACAAAAAGCCTTTAGTTAGACACAATATAAATTTACCATTCACTACGATTTTACAACAAATTCTTGACAATTACATAATGTAAAATAAAATGAACAAAAAATGTATTCATAAAAACAAAATAAAAACTCTCTTTTGTGAATCAGATTACAACAAATTTCCTCCTCCCTGGATCATAATACTCATTATCAAAGAGCAATTCTTAAAAATACTGAGTAGTAATAATATACTGTATTAATGAATAATATTTGTAAAACATAATCTTATAATGTAATAATAAAAAAATGTTGTATGAATAAATATGTTTAATCCAACTGAAAGTTAATTTTTTAAATTTCTTTGGTCTTTTAAAGGATTGTGACATGTAAGAGATTATTGTAATATTATTTCTGACTTTCATGTGATTAAAATGAGACCTAAGGCGCCTCCTGTTGATTCTGACATCAGCTGCCTGAACTGTGGTCTGATCCAAGATGGCCGCCCTCCAGGACCGTCGTCCAGCGTTCCTTCCCCTACAGACTGTAGGTGGCGCCAGAGCGCCGGAATCATTTTAATGAACTGTAAAATCTAAACAATCTTGTTGAAGCCAGACTGTAAAATGCTCAGTGATGAGTTTGATCAACGAGGATGAAGATCCATGAGCTCCTCCGCTCTGCGCCGCCTCTCCTCCGTCACTTCCACGGGAAGGTCCGCGTGCGTTCCGTGATCCTAAAGGTGTGTTGTTATTGTGACAGCTTGGTGCAATCTAACCGGGGAGGCTGCGTAACGTCAAGCCGTTATGTTAGCCAGCCCCCGCTAGCAGCAATGCTACCTACCGCAGAGTAGAGTCCGTTTAACGGCACTGTTTCCCGGGCAGCTCCGAGGCTCACAGCGGCCTGGAACACGAAGCGCGAGGCCATAAAAAAGAGGTGACGTTTCATTTTGAATTTTAGTTCTTTTATAGACTAAAATAACTCGACTTATTTCCGCTGCTGGTTGTCAGGCTAAGGTCAAGAAGCTGGCCAATGCTAACTGCTAGCTGCCTGTATAAACATGGAAGATGACAGGAAGTCCTCCTGTCGCTGCCATCTGATGTTATTTACAAACTGTGGTTATTTGTGTAAAGAAGCTAGCTCTGTAGAAATGGTTTTTACTAAAGACCAGAGGCGTTGGTAAAATGTTTTAGCTCCTGGGGACTCAGCCCAGCTCAGAGGTATTTATTTATTTGACAGTTTTATAGATCCAGTGATCTATAAAACTGATAGATTAAATTAATTAATCTATCAGTGTTTACTTGGATGTTGTTGGTTTTGTTGCCATAATTAGTGTAAAGTCTACATTTGCCACTTTATCAGTGGATTTTATATAACTAGATATGTAAACACAATCATAACATAGATAAAGTCGTAGTGAAATCACATCCAAATGTCAAATTATTTTGACTTAAACATGTATATTAATGCACTTTTTATCAGTCCCAGCATTTAGAAAATTTCTATTTTAAAAATATCAGTGTTTTTTTTTTCCGTTATCTTCTGCAGGCCAGTTAGTTCTACGTCAGCCTGAAC